GGGGGCAAAACTGGCGAGACAAGAAACGAGCGGGAGAGCCGGCGGCACAGGGGGGGCATGGAGGCACACACACACACACACGCACGCACGCACACATGCATGCATGCGCACGCCAGGCGCGGGCCGGGTGGCGGCGGGGAGCACACTCGCCCCTCGCCCTCGCCTCCCACACCTAGGCAGGCGGGAGGTGTCGCCCCCCTCTTTGACGTGCGTGCATGCGTGCCTTCCCGCGGTCCTGCCTGTCGCGGCTCTCGCCGCGGCGGCTTCCGACACAAAGCTCTCGCTCTCTCGGCTCTCTCGGCTCTCTCTTCCGGCGATCCTTTCCGGCTGGGCTGCTCTCTCTCTCTCTCTCGCTCTCGTCGCGCTATCTTGCTGGCCATCTCTCTCGCTCTCGCTGTCTCTCGGCCTCGCTCTCAGTGGGAGCCAGGCGGCAGCAGAGACTTCAGGTGGTTGATCTGCCGGAGCAGCGGCACAAGCACGCTGCTGATGGACTCGGCCCCGATGCCGGGGTTGGCACGGAGGTCCGCCTGGGCCTGGCCCAGCCCGGCAACATGCTCGCTGATGTCGGTCAGGAGCTTCTCCACCGCGCTGTAGAGAGACCGGCGGAAGGCCGTGGTCCGATGGGAGAACGCAAAGTCGCGAAGGGTCTGCGCCGGGCGGATGACACAGTCCAGGGCCGCCAGGCACTGGGCACTGAGGTCCAGCAGGGAGGGGCTATGGGCCAGGGCATGCGGGGGAACCCCCTCGGTTCGGAGCTCCCCGTGCTTGGTCTGGTAGGCCTTCAGATGCTGGGCCAGGCCGCGAGACTCGGCGATGATCTCGTCAATGAGGATGGCAATGTGCCGGTGCACGCCGGAAGACCCGTCATCGGTGGCCTGGTCGATGGTGGCCGTCGACAGCGGGGCCGACGCGTTGCCGGGCCCGGGCGACGGCCCCGACCGGCTGCCAGGGCCACCGCCACCCGGGGCCGGAGACCACCCGCCATGCGGCGAGTCGCTGGTGGATGTCAGCATGCCGGAGGAAGACGAGGAGGACATGCTGCCACCGATGAAATGCGACGGGGACATGGGGTCGCCGCCCATGAGCCGGGGACCGGCGCCGGCGGCGGTGCCGGCCGAGCTGGCCGACAGAACCGGCGCGCTGGTCTGCCCGGCGCCCAGCAGCGACGGGTGCGTGGCATTAGGCTGGATCGGGGCCGAAGACCGCAGGGGGCCGGCTTGCTGGTGGTGATACTGATGTGGCGACGGGAGCGGCGAGTAGTAGGGCTGCTGCTGCTGCTGCTGCTGCTGCTGCTGCTGGGAGAATTGTGACTGGGAAAATTGTTGCTGGTGCTGCGGGTATGGCGGGGGCTGCTGCTGCTGAGACTGGGAAAAGGAGCCGGACGCCTGGTGCATGGCGACCGGGCGGAAGGGCGCCACGGCGCGCAGCATCTCCTGCGTGTTGTTGCCGATGGACACGAGAAGGGGGGTCATCTCGGGGACGGCCATCTGCGGGCCGGACCCGGTGGCAATCGACTGGCTGGTGTTCAGGAGCTTGGACAGGCGCAGCTGCAGGTCCTTCTCGATGATGAAGACAAACTCCCGGACCTCCAGCGGCATGGCCGGCGAGTCCTTGCAGATGAGCAGGCAGTCATCGATGAACTGGCTGACGATGAACACTGTGCGCGGGCCGAGAAGGTCCAACACCGAGACACGCCGCGCAGGGCGATCGAGGGGGAGCGGCGAGGGTCAGCACGCTGTCGGGCGATGGAGAGGGATACAGAGCGTGGCGAGTGGAAGGAAAAAAAAAAGGAAGGGGAGGGGGAGATGCCATCATGCCATGCCCATGGCCGTCACACAGGCAAGCAGGAGCGCGCGGGACGCCACCAAAGGGAGAAGGAGTTGAACGGGCAAAACGGCACGGGGAAAAGCCAGAAAGAAGAAGCCCTGCACACATACCGATGGCCCCGGTGTGGCTGATGATCTCATGGGTGTCACGGTGCTCGGCCGCGGCGATGAGGCTGCGGGCGGGCTGCAAGAATCCCGGCAGGGTGATGGCGCTGAGGGACATGCTGGGGGAGTGCTCGCTCTGGAGGAGGATGCTCGCGCGGCGGGAAAGCCCCTGGCCGTTGTCAGGGCTGCCTCCGGTGGCCGCCTGCATTTGCTGCTGCTGCTGGTGGTGGTGGTGGTGGTGGTGGTGCTGGTGCGGCGGGTGGCGCGGGCTCAGGGCCCCGCCACTGAAGGACTCCTGGTGCATGTGCATGGCGGCCCCGGGCATCGGGGTGGAGGGCGACTCGCCAGAGGGGATGCCCGACGTGTCGGACAGCGACCGCGCGCGCAGCTTCATGTGCAGGTTGTTGATCTCCAGCTGGGCATTGTCCAGGCGCTCGGTCAGCTGGGTGACCTGCTCCTGGGCCTTGGCCAGGAGGTCGCGCAAGTTGGCCGTGGTGGCCTCGTGCTCCTTCTGCGCCAGGGCCATGTCCTTGGCGAGACGGCTCTTCTCGAGGTTGGCGGCAGCCAGCTCCTGGATGGCGGCGTCGCGCTCCTGCACGAGCAGGCGCGACTCGGTGCGTGCCACATCAAGTCGCGAGTTCAGGGTGTTGACCCTTTGCGCGAGCTCGGTATTGC